TCGGTTAGGAACATATGAAACAATCAGGTCACTGATGTATGATGGAGCCTGATTATTAAGAGCTTTATATGTGAGAAGAAGGATCTTAAAATCTATTCTGAATTTAACAGGCAGCCAATGTAGGGAAGCTAAGACAGGAGAGATATGATCTCTCTTTTTAATTCTCATCAGATCTCTAGCTGCAGCATTTTGGACAAGCTGAAGACTTTTAACTACATTCTGTGGACTTCCTGAGAGTAATGAATTACAGTAATACAGTCTTGATGTAATAAATGCATGAACTAGTTTTTCAGCATCACTCCTGGAAAGTATGCTTCTAATCTTAGCAATATTCCGAAGGTGGAAAAAGGAAATCCTACAAACCTGCTTAACCTGGGATTTGAATGACATGTCCTGATCAAAGATAACACCAAGGTTCCTTACTTTGTTCTCAGAGACTAATTTAATGCCATTCGGGTCAGGTGATTAACTAAGCAATTTCCTTTTCTGAATTTCTTGTCCAAAGATGAGAACTTCAGTCTTGTCTTGGTTTAAAAACAAAAGGTTTTGAGTCATCCAATTTTTCATGACTTCAAGACAAGCCTGTAATCTAGCTAACCGATTAGGTTCTTCAGGGTTAATGATAGATATAACTGAGTATCGTCAGCATAACAGTGGAAGTTTATCCCATGCTGTCTAATGATTTTACCAATTAGGAGCATATATATAGTAAAAAGCACTGAACCCTGTGGTACTCCACAAGTAACCCTGGAGTATGAAGAAGATTTGTCATGTACATTTGCAAAATGAAATCTGTCAGACAGGTAGGATTTAAACCAGCCTAGCGCTGTTCCTTTGATCCCTACAACATGTTCAAGTCTTTCTAAAAGAACATTGTGATCAACTGTGTCAAAGACAGCACTGAGATCTATCAAGACTAGAACAGACACAAGATTCTTATCTGAGGCCATGAGAATATCATTTGTAACTCTCACTAATGCAGTTTCAGTGCTGTGATACTCTCTAAAACCAGACTGAAATTCCTCAAACAGATCATTAGTGTTTAAATGCTCACATACTTGGATGGCCACTATTTTCTCAAGGACTTTGGATAAAAATGGAAGGTTAGATAATGAGCTATAATTCATTGGGTCATCTGGATCCAGAGAAGGCTTCTTAAGTGAAGGTTTGATTACAGCAACCTTAAAATCCTGTGGTACATATCCATTTACTAAGGATAGATTGATTATATTGCTTCTTTAAATAATTTGGTTGGGATTGGATCTAAAATGCAAGTGGAAGGTTTAGATGAAGCTAATATTTTTGATAACTCTGAAAGCTTAACTGGATCAAAATGGTTCAAACACAGATGAGGTTCTATAGTTACCTCTGATGCTGCCTCACTGAGGAAGAAGAAATCACATTAGGGAGGATGCTAAAGATTTTGTTTCTAATAGAATTAATTTTACTTGTGAAAAATCCCATAATGTCATTGCTGCTGAGGGCTAAGGGAATAGGTGGTTCAGAGCTATGATTCTGTGTAAGTTTGGCAAGTGTACTGAAAATAAATTTAGGATTATTCTTTTTCTCCTCAATTAACGCTGAGAAATAAGCAGTTCTAGTTTGTCTAAGCTTACTTTTATAAAGCACAAACTATTTTTCCAGGATAGGTAGGCCTCCTCATGGTGCGTAGAGCACCATGTTCTCTCCAATTTTCCAGAGTTTTGTTTTAAAGCTCGTAAATGAGAATTAAACCAGGGAGCTGACTTCCTGTCCCTAATTACCCTCTTTTTTAAAGGGGCAACATCATCTAATGCCACACGTAAAGAGGAAGTAACATTATGAACGAAAGCATCAATTTGTGAAGGGCTAGAAATAAAAATATTGCCCTCTGCTACGTTCCTCTGAGATGCTGAAGATAGTAAAGATGGAACAGATGCAACAGCGTTGTCAGATAGAGACCGACTATAGTGAAATTTACTTTCATGTCTCGAGAATTCAGTTATAAAAAACTCAAAGGTTATCAAAAAGTGGTTTGAGAGGACTAGATTATGTGGAAATATGGTTATTTCCTCACTCTATGCCACAAGTCAGCACAAGGTCCAATGTATGATGGCAGGAGTGGGTGGAGCTATGTATTCTTTGGGTAAAACCAATTGAGTCTTAGATATTACTAAAGGCTATATTGAGGCTATCATTTTCAATGTCCACATGAATGTTAAAATCCCCCACTATAATGACCTTATCAGTATTTAGCACCATATCAGATAAAAAAATCAGAGATCTGATCCAAAAACTCTGAGTAAGGGCCTGGTGGACGATACAAAACTACAAGCAAGAGTGGTTTTACAGTTTTACAATCTGGATTAGGAAAACTAAGAATAAGAAGTTTAAAAGAATTTTAACTATTAATTGGTAAGGGACTGATTAATAGGTCTGAAAGAAAAATGGTTGCTGCTCCTCCTCCTTGCCCTGTATTTCGAGCAATATGATGATTTAAATAATTAGAAGGAGCTGACTTGTTTAATCTAACATAGTCCTCTTGCTGCAGCCAGGATTCTGTGAGAGAGAGCAAAGAAATCTGATTATCACAAATCAAGTCATTAACTAACAGTCTTAGAAAAAATAGACCTAATGTTCAATAACCCACATAAAATTTTTCTAGTTTTCTGCTCAGTTGAATTTGTTCTAATATTTATGAGATTTCCATGATTTGCTTAACCAAACCTGATATTTCATCTGTGTGATTTTGGCCGTGGGCAGGACACTGTCTCTATGGGGTAGTGGGTGGGTAACAGTACAGAAGCTGCAGAGGGGTGTGTTAAACTACGACTCTACTTCCTGGTCTGAACCCTGGGTTGCCATGAAGGACTAATAAAACTGGCCATGTTCCTAGAAAGAAGAGCTGTTCCATCCAAAGCAGGATGGATGCCGTCTCTTCGCATCAGACCAGGTTTTCCCCAACAAGTTTTCCAATTATCAATGTAGCCCACGTTGTTTTCAGGACACCACCTAGACAACCAGAGGTTGAAGGACAGCATGCGGCTAAACATGTCATCACTGGTCCGATCAGTAGAAAGTCCAGTCGGTTGGTTCGCTGGAGTTCAAAGTTAAACACATTTATTCTAACCCAGTTAGTTTCTGCATCTTTACTGCTCCGCTTCAGCCCTCTCCCTCCTCCCCCTGCGCAGCAGCCGCAAACTCACTGACGCGCCTGCAGCCTCTCAGAGATTCTGCTGCTCTAAACATTAAAATAATTATTTCATTTTCTGTTCCTCACTTGTGATTACCTTCAGTGGTGTCTATTTGTTGCAACCACCAGGTTCAAAAACTAACTTGTTTTTATTTGACTATTTTTCTGTCCTGTCTGTTTATTATCTTCCTGCATATCCTCTCAATCCTAAAGAAAAACTGCTACCTAGGTTCATATATATTCACCTTATGAGTTACCTTTGAACTGCAGTTCTAAAAGATCTACCGACTGCAAAAACAGCGGAGCGCGAGCTGCTCGCCGGCCGCACCGGTGAGGTGTCACCGGAGGACAAAACAGGTGATGTGCCCCGCTCCACAGCAGCGAAATGCATCAGGCACAAATAAAAGACAGAAAACATAAAAGGAAATGATCGCGTGTTAACTTTGTTTTTGAGGTGGTGACACCTGATTTGATGATGTTACTGTGACCGTGCTCAGGACGCAGATGTCTGGAGCGCGTCAACAATCAGAGCTTTGCATGCACACGCTGGTTAAGGCTAGGATGGGAGTGAGGGGAAGGTTAAATTGCAAGAGGGTAAAGGTCACAATTTGGTTAAATGTCCGTTTTACGGCGGGTGTCAGTACCGGCGTTCTGGCACAGCGCGTTGCCTCCCGACGCGCAGGGGGCTCAGCACCTGCTGTCTTTTCCGAGGACTGCATCTTGTTGGTCATTATCACGTGACAGCGACTAGTCGATGAAAGGCATAAAAAGTCACTACAGAGCAGTGAAGTTGACTAGTCAACAAGTTCATCCAACCCCTATCACACACTGCACCTGACCCCTTTGGCCCCTCCCACGAGTGGTGAGCCCATGGGAAGGGGGGCCCACGTTTACTCTTCAGGCTCTGCCCAGCTGGGCTCCATGTGTGAAAGCCTAGCCACCAGATGCTCACCAGCGTGCCCCACCTCCAAGCTTGGCTCCAGAGGGGGGGCCCGGTGACCCACGTCCGGGCGAGGGCACACGGTTTCCATTTATATAATTCATCATAAGAGGTCTTTACTAGCACATTGTTTGAAAGTGGAAAAATGTCCTATTTATCAGGACACTTAATAAAAGCAAAAACATGATTAATAAAAGACCCGTTGGACACCTGTTTGGTGTAAAAATTTACACTTTTACCTGCTTGTTGTTTTAGAAAGATTTGACTCATTGTTTCCTCGTTTGTACCTTTAATCTGTTTTCCTTCCCGAAGCCTGAGAAACCATTATTTACCTTCCTGTCACTACTTTACATTTTAGTTCTTTCTCCAGAGATTTAGCTCTTCTATGTGTTCAGGGAAACTGAGACGCACGTTTTTCCAAATCCTCCAGTGTTTTCTGTGTTTCAGCTTTTGGTTCTTTACTTTTATGAGCATGAAAGATTGAAAGCTTCGTGCAGGAACAAGGCTGAGAACTTCTGGGTGTGTCTTGCTTTCCAGGGGTTTTTGAAGCAGCTGTCCCTGGTGGTGCAGAAAATATGTTAATATATATTCTGCAAGTTGTGTCCGTGTCCCAGTGTTTCTCAGCCAACACTGAAAAGAAGTGTTCTCTCTCTGGTGCAGATTCAAGCAAAGTTAGGCCAGAAGTTTATTTTGAGATTTGAGTGAAAACTTGAAATTGTGGCTTCAGTTCAGGTTTCTCTTGGCTAGAAAAGCAGATTATATTTAGGAAAAATAAAGATAACATTTCTGCTGTTGTGCTCTTGTGCCACACTATGTGAGATCACCACCAAGAAATCGGATTTCCGAAGTTGTTGCCAATTATTTCTTGTTCTCTTTCCTTTTTACCAGATCTGCGAAGGACAGAGGTGCAAATCGGGTTCCACCGGATTGTGATTGGATGTGAAACTATTTTGACCCTTCAAAATTGAAGATGATGTTGCTATGGAAACTGCTGCTGCTGCAGTCACTTATGGGGTGCCTGGCAGGTAAAGTATCTTATTAAGAACTTTTGATGCATGCCAAAGCTGCCTTTGTGGAGTCTGAGTCCTTATTCATATGTATTTGGGGCAGGTGGCAGTGTGAAAGCTGAAGTTTGGATTCAGGTGGATTAGCTGGAAGGAAACATATTTTCTCCCACAGATGTACAATAATAAGAGGCCAGAGGGGTGTCTGTTGTAGACGCCAGGAAATATTTCTATTTTTAGTCTTAAATCTTTCTTGTTTAACTTCCAAAATGGTAATAAAATCAAAGTAAATGGTAATGAGGTAAATGTAGATTTTAACTTCTGGTTAACTTCAGTATTTCACATTAATACTAATAGATGCCACTGACATAAGCCGTGGTTTGGCATAGAAGAAAAAGTCAAACATTTTGTTTTATTTTCTTTTTAACAAAAAATAACTTTCATCTGTGCATCGACAGTACACCAAACAAACCGACTTCTGTCATGAACCTTCCCAGGTCAGACAAGAAATCCTGCATAACATCTTCTAATAATAACTAAAACGTGTCTTCACCATAAACAAACACGGCAGACAAGGAAGAGCCAGTGTGCATCCGTCTATTTCTGATCACCTTCTTATTGGCTACACATCACATTCAACCAGGGGTGGTAATTAATATGTTTTGTCAATATCAATGCCACTGTCGATTCTGTCTATCAATCCAATTCCTTATCAGTCCTCGAGTAGTTCAATAGGTGGCAAAAGATTAATTGCACATGGTCAGTTAATTAATTTAGTTATAAAAAAATGAATTGTACCTGGTATCGGTTGAAAAGATTCTTCAAAATGTTTTATGCTCCATGTGAAGGCAGAGTCATCTTCTTGTATGGTGTAGTGTTGCTGTAGCTTTTGCTAAATGGGCAAAATCTCATTTCATGTCAGACCTTTTGTCACTAGAGTCTGCTAGTGTGGAGGTGTGTATAAGGTAAATGACATAATAGGGTTAGGGTTAGTTGATTAGTTACCTGCAGTATTAACAGGAGAGGACGTGAAAACATCACCACTGCAGCTGCATTGAAATTCACTAGTCTGGAACGGGTCAAAAACACGTTATTTACTATAAGTTATTGCATATTTTGTCGACAAATGCTTTTGCATATTCATAAGGTTTCCTCTCCTTGATGTCATATCTAATTTGTAAGTTTTGCAAGTTGCCCTGTTGTCATCATTTCTCATAAAGTATAACCAAACTTTGGAGCATTTATGCTGTGTAGGGGCCATTATTCCTGCTGAGTAAATGTGTAAGTCATGCAACATGCATGGTGACGTCAGTCACGCCAACTGGAATTTATAGGGGAGGCGTTTGCAAAAATGGCAAGTGATTCTTATGATTTGAAACAGTGGGAACCGGTTCTCAGAACTAGTTTTGAGGAGAAAGTAACTTCAGGTGACAGGATTTTGAGTCTTGTTTTCCTGAAATTTATACATCTCACCTTGGATTGGCTAACGGCAACGTACCTCCACCACGGACTCTGCTCTGCAACATTGATGTTTTATCTCCACAAACAACACAAGTCTGAAGGATTTCTGCTTTGTGGTGGAGTGGCTAATGCTAACAGTTAGCTTTTGTTACTCGAGACATTAGTTTCCTGGATGCTAAACAAACAACAGCTTTCCCGACGTGAGTCAAGATGGACGAGTCCATGAATGTTAGATCTGTCAGGCTTTTCATATCGTAGAGTTTTACCATCTGTTTTCTATCAGAAGCTAAAGTCGAAGATATGTGTAGGAGACTATTTTCATAATCAGCTTGCATATTAAACTCATTTTCAAAAATAATAGATAAGAAATGGTTTCTCAGTGATGGACTTCTTTAAAGGAATAGCATACAATGTTCTAAAGTTTTTAGTGTTGTTTTAGGATTGTCTGAAGGGGAGGACTGAAGGAAAAACTGGTATGATCATCCTGCTTTCAGAACTGGGCTTTACAAGCCGGCAAAGGCACTCTGAACACACCACACATGGCAGAAATATCTGATCAACTAGTTCTTAGACATATGCCCTCTTTTCCTTGTTTGCTTCAGACTTCAGTTGCTGTTGTCTCCTTCTGCCTTTCAACTGTAAACTGAGCTCTACACTACGAAAAGTGGTAATGCTTCTGTGATATTGGATTACTTTTACATGTTTACAAGTATAAGTACACAACTATGGATACGGGCCAATACCCACCTCTGGTATCAGCATTGACATCCCCCTATTTGTAAGATTTCCAACATTTCAAAGCTGTAAAGCACTTGTTGCCCTGACATAGAGAAGTGATGTGACACTTACTGGTTTCAATGGTCACTGCCTAATAGAGAGCACTACTGCTTTTAATTTAATTTACCATTAAATTTTTTTATAAGCTGCAGGAAATCTTTGCAAGGACACAGCTGTGAGAGAGCACTGGAGACTTACGTTTCTGGGACCAAACCTATAGTGAGACTAATTTAGGAAAGGTGTTTTGCACAACCCTCTGAAAGAAAGTTGGTTTGATGAAGGACAAAGGATCTAAGTGATCTGCCTCCATTTCCTACATTATAGCTAATCTAAAATTGGCTACGTCTTTAGACTGCAGAGGTCCTTCTTTTAATCAGTTTAACTTTTCTTTAACTTCCATTGTTTTCTCAGTTATAACTGAGTTCAACAGTTAAATATTCATGAGACAACTTTCCTTTTAAAATGTTCGCAGCATTGCCTTGTGTAACTGGGTTTAATTTTTTTCTATTTAGTTTCCATAAATGAGAAAAGTGCGAGAAATGCTGACTGATTCTGAGAGGGGTTGGTGAGCAAAAAGCCCATAAAATGAGGATAAAAGGCAAAGGCATATTTTAGATACTTTGGCACTCAAATGTGACTAGAATTGGCACGTCAGCCACATTTATTTTCTTGCAATTACGTCAAATGGCTCATGTGACCATGACTTAAACTTCTGGCAAAGTATCATATGCAGCAATTCTTTCTAATTTTAACTGAATTCACATAGATTATCACTGTTCTAGAGGTTCAGCTAGTTGCCAGCCATTTTAGCCCAGTGGCTGATTGTTCTTCTCTCAGTTCTCAATGTTTGCAAACACAAAATCTAAACACGAAATGCAAAAGTTAGAGATGAAAGGAAACAAGGGGCCCCCTAGCGGCTGATTAATTATTAAGCCCCACCCCCTCCATAAAAAATGAATAGAATAATTTTGTGAGTAAAAAAGTAAATGTAATGTAATATGTTACTTCTACAAATTCAAATTATTCTTTCCTTTGTAGTTGTGATATGTTTTTGAAGCTTATGGTAAATCACCTGTAGTTGATATAGCTTGTATAACCCCCCCCCCCCCCCCCCCAAGACACTTAACAATACAACCAGTCATTCACCCATGCACACACACATTCACACGTCAGTGGCGATGGACTACATTGTAGCCACAACTGCCCTGGGCACTGTTTATCTAAGCTCCTCCCATAGAACCCAATGCAATTTGAATTTTGCGCCACTCATTGTTAGCCAACAGCGTTAGACAATCACGGAGCATGCGTATGGGTTTGCAGAACTGATGTATGTTCACAAATGAGGAAGTGGTTCCAGCTGTGATGGAAGCAGGTAGAGGGACTTGTGGTGCATTACATTTTTTCAGGATTTTAGCTTTAAGTAAGTAAGTAAAGTTTATTTATACAGCGCTTTTCACAGATATAAATCACAAAGCGCTGGTAAGAAACAGCAGAAGTAGCTTTTATGCAAGCTGGTGAATTACAGCTGTGTAAACCACAAAACTGATGTTTAAATAACCTGTACAGACATTAAATAGTTCTCCCTGTCTGGGTAAGAGAACATTAAAAATGACAAAAGAACAGCAGGATATGAAGTCATTATTTTTGGAAAAGAATTGCAATAAAAATTATTCAATTTAAGGTTAATTTCTCAAAAGTGGCATATAAAATTCTTTACTGTGTTCTTTTCAGTGTCTGTCATTCAGTCACTGAGCAGTAAAGCTGAATGATGGCTTCATTATGCGTTCGTGCCCAGTGGAGCCAGAGGCTCCTTGGCATTGATCACACTTTGATGGAGGACTTTAATTCATCTCTTTTACAAATAGAAGCAGTCGCCTTAGAGTGTTTAATCAACAGGTAACCTGCAGATGATGGAGATTAATCGAACTGAGGAAATTCCTCCGTTTCATCAGCGATCTCTAGGACCAGCGTCACCAAGCGTCTGTAGGTAGACTCTGTGGGATGCATTTGCCCTGGCCCGCTGCTTCGTCCGTGCCACAGCGTGTTTTATGGCTGGTCTAACAGTCACACTTCTCACAGCAGACAGCTGGTGATAATTGACCAGGGTGTTGCTGACTCCTTGTGGAGTTGTTACTTCACACCAATCACTTCTGTTATGGAGAATTGTGTCAGGGGTGCTAACATGACATGATTTTATGTATGTTCAAGAATCAGATTTAGGTTTGAAATCCCACTGGGCCTTTTTTACGAGTCTCAGAATCTGTGTTGTCCTCTCAGTAACAGAGTCGTGTCATTTTCAAGCATACACAGCCTGGAGTGTAAACATCAAAGATTTCTTCCTCAAGTCCTCCTGAAATGACCACAGGCTACTTTCTTAGAGAGAGCAAAAGGCATCGAAACACCTCTGAGTCATCGACCCAACAGACTTTTAACAACACCTACATTTACACATGACAGTTCTACAAAGAAAAGCATGCACGCTTCTGTTGTTCGTGAAGGGACAGAGACGTTGTTCGTGAAAAGACTTTTGGACACGGAGATAAAAAGTGAGAGTAAAGTGAATAAAGTTCAGCTGAAAGAATCAGGTGGTGAAAATCCCATGCCATGCTGAAAATATTCTTCATCTGCACATTTTAATCAGGAGTTCTGCTTTTTAGGGCAGAGGAGGTGGCAGAGGGCTTAAGAGCCCACCTTGTAACTGGAGGGTTGCAGGTTTGAGTCCCATCTGTTGTTGTCATTGAATTATTGGGCAAGGCACTTCTCCAGGTTTGCCTGCAGCGGTT